GATTGATGATTATGTGGAATGAAAATGATTTTGAAGTTTCGAACACCCATCTTAATGGCAGATTCATAGCAGTCTTTGGGAAGTTCAGAAATTCAAGTGAAGAGTGTCTGATTATCAATGTATACGGTCCATCAATTGAAGCAGAAAAGGAAGATTTTTTCAGGGAATTGTTGGAGTTTGTTTCGGCTCAAATATGTTAGTGTGTATTGGGGGAGATTTTAATGTGTATCTTGATCCGGACGAGAAGATGGGAAAATCACAAAACTGGCATTCTATTGATTTATTTAGAAACTTCTTACAGCAATCACATTTAATTGATCTACCGTTGGTGGGAGGAAGGTATACTTGGTGCAATAATAGAGAAGACTCGACTTGGGAAAGACTAGACAGGTTCTTAATCTCTGGGACGTTTCTGTCATGTTTTCCAAATGTAGTGCAAAGTCTCTTGCCTAAATCCCTATCTGATCATAATCCTGTCTCATTAGAGGACAAAGCTGTTAATTGGGGACCGAAACCATTCAGGTTTTTTAATTATTTACTAGAGGAGGAAGGATTTGAGGAATTGGTTAAATCTTCAATGCTTGCTATGAGGGGAGAAATAATAAAAGGGGTATTTTCAGTATCTTAAAAGGTACTAAAAATTCAATCAGAAATTGGTCCAGCAGTAAATTTACTGGGATCCCTGAGTCGATTTCTGATTTAGAGAGGAAAATTAATGAATTGGATCTTAAAGCTCAAGGTGGAATTCTTTCGAAGCAGGAGTGGGATCAGTTGAGGCTGTGTAGGACAAATCTATGGAGGTTGTATAGGACAGAAGAAAGCATCTGGTTTCAGAAGTCAAGGGCAAGATGGATCAAGGAGGGGGATAGGAACACAAGGTTTTTTCATCTGTCTGCTCTGAACAGAAGCAAAAGAAATGAAATCTTAAGCTTGAAGATAAATGGGAGTGTGGTTTCAGATCCTCAACAATTAAAGGTACATATTTCAGAATTTTTCAAGGCAGCCTATAATTCCAATTCAACATTGGAAACGGAGGATTTACTACTGGATTTTGCTAAGCTATCAGGGGATCAGTCTAAGAAGCTTGAAGAGCACTTCTTAGAACAGGAAATTTGGCAAGCTATAGTCTCATCAGACAGCTCTAAAGCTCCAGGACCAGATGGTTTCACCATGGGTTTCTTTAAAAACTGCTGGCCGATTTTAAAGGAGCACGTGTTGAAATTTTTTGAAGATTTCTATTTTGGAAGGAAATGGGAGCACGGTATAAACCATGCTTTTATCACACTTATTCCGAAGAAGCTTAATCCGGACAGTGTAGAGGAATTTAGACCAATCAGCCTTGTAGGCAGCTTATACAAGATACTTTCTAAAGTTCTTTCGAGAGACTGAGTTGTTGTGTTGGTGATATTATTAGTCACTCTCAGTTTGCGTTTATACCAGGGAGACAGTTGCTGGATTGTGCTTTATAGCAAACGAAGGGATTGATTACTGGAGGAAAAAAGGGTTAAAAGGGGTTGCCTTCAAAGTAGATTTTCGTAGGGCTTATGATTCCGTGGAATGGCCAATTTTAATTAGAATAATGTCAGAGATGGGTTTTGGTAAGAGATGGTTGTCGTGGATATCTCAGTGTATTTCAACAGCTTCAATCTCAGTTCTCGTAAACGGGTCTCCATCGGAAGAGTTCCACATGGCCAAAGGACTTAGGCAAGGGTGCAGTTTATCACCGCTACTGTTTAACATTGTAGGTGAGCTGCTTAATTTGATGATATCTAAAGCAGTGGACAGGGGTCTGTTTCAAGGCTTTGTTATTGGGGAATCTGAAAATTCTGTTCGATTGACACATCTACAATTTGCAGATGACTTGATCATCTTCTGTCAAGCATCTCTCTCCCAGATTAAAAATGTCAAGAGAGTATTGAGGATTTTTAGTGTTATGACAGGGTTGCATCTTAATCTAGCTAAGAGTAAGCTATTTGGTATTAATGTGGAAGAGGAAGTTTTATCAGAATGGGCATCTTCGGTGGGCTGCTCTATTGATTCTCTTCCAACAGATTACTTGGGACTTCCTCTAGGTGCTAAGAAAAACTCAGAAGCCTTATGGGATCCAGTTTTCAAGAATTTAGTTCCAAACTAGCCGGCTGGAAAGCTAATTGTCTCTCATTGGCGGGCAGGACAGTTTTATTAAAGTCGGTGTTAACATCCCTACCAATATTCTTCTTATCTCTTTTTAGAATGCCTTGTAAAATTGGTAAGAAGCTTAATTCTTTAATGGCCAGTTTCCTATGGGGGGATAATGAGGACAAAAGGAAGATACACTGGGTTAATTGGAAATCAGTCTGCACGCCTCTAAATTGTGGTGGCCTTGGTGTTCTTGATGTGAACATATCTAATCGGGCTCTTTGGGAAAATGGGTGTGGAAGTTCGCCAATGAAAAAAATACTTTGTGGAAAAGTGTGTTATGTTGCAGGCACAAGGTAAGTAGTAATTCCATGTCTATTTGTAAGGTTTTTTTCGCCCAAATCTTCTTGGATTTGGAGAGGGATTGCCAACAATTTCTTGAAGAACGACTCGGAGGGTGAACGTATCAGATCTAACTCCAAGTTGAAACTGGGAAATGGAAAGTCTATTGCATTTTGGACGGATTCATGGGCTGATGAGTCTCCTTTAAAATATCTTTTCCCTAGAATGTATGCGTTGTCAACAAATAAATGGGGTATGGTCGCTGAGTTTGGAAGTTCAGATTCGAACGGTTGGGTGTGGAACATCGATACCAGAAGGAATTTGTGTGACTGGGAGTTGGATCAGTGGCTGGATTTAATGACAAAACTGAAGGACTTTAAACTGACTGATTCAGTTGAAGACTTTCTTTCTTGGTCTGCAAGTGGGGATGGACTGTTTTCAGTGAAATCTTGTAGAAAGGAACTCGGCAAGGTGTCTGGGGAGTCCGATTTATGGGTAAAAGGGGTGTGGCAGGGTTTATCTCCTCCTCGTGTTGAAGTCTTCCTGTGGCAGCTAGCTCATCAGAAAGTGGCAGTGAGAGAGGAGTTGGTGAAAAGAGGTTTGCAGCTAGGGGATGAAATTTTATGTCCGTTTTGTAAAAAACAGGTGGAATCAGTTCAGCATTTATTTATTTCATGTGATGTTGTTTGGGAACTTTGGAACAAGATAGCAAGCTATTGGGAAATAGCCTTAGTCCTTCCAAAGGATCCACCTTCTTTGCTATGTTCTTGGGGTGAGCTGAGGGGGAAATCGTTGATTTGGAAATTTATCCCGGGAGTAGTATTTTGGTCGATATGGAAAGCTAGGAATGCAATGGTGTTCGATGGTTCCCCCTTGGATAGGATGTCTCTGTTTTTTATTGCTAGATTCAGGTTATCTAAATGGTTTCTAGCCAAGTATCCTAAGTGTCCTATTCAGGAGGATGTGCTGATTGGTGATCCATCTCTTGCAGATGGTATTAAAGCTCTCAACATTTACAATTTTCAGGTTTCTCGCTGGATTCCACCCCCTATGGATTTTTTGAAGATGAATGTCGATGGAGCTGTTAGACTTGATGGCTCAAATGGAGGTATAGGAGGTATTTGAGAGATTGGAATAGCAACTCCCTTCTGACTTTTTCAGAAAATGTAGGTCAGGGTCCCCCGCCGGTTGCTGAGTTAAAGGCTATTAAGAGAGGCATTGAAATCTATATGTCTTCTTGTTGGGTTAAGGTTGGAAGGTTGATTGTGGAAAGTGACTGTAAGTCGGCTGTGGAATGGGTCCATACACCAGCTATGGCCCCAGTTTTTATCCTCCCATTAGTTAAAGAGATTTCATCTTTTATCACGGACAGGGTGCACTCTATTAGACTGATTCCAAGGGTGTGTAATGGGGAGGCTGATAGTTTAGCAAAGATGGGAATTGGTTGATGTTTAGTCGTTTCCAGTGCGTTTTATCGTTTGAGTTTAGGTTTTCGGTTATGTTGAGTAGCTTAGTCTGTTGTGTTTTTTCAGTATGGTGTCTACGTTAAATCTTATGTAATTTCGGAGGAGTAATAAAGTTTCTAAGGCACTCTTTTCCTCCTTCTTTGATCAAGAAGGAGGTTTTTAAGGAGGCCTGTCATTCTTATCAAAAAAAAAAAAATTGACTTGTTTCCTTCCCTCTAAAAATTTTTTCCTTCTAATTCTCTCCTCCTATCCTTCTTATACCTTGCGACCCCCACTGAAACTCTCTTCCCAATTGACCTGCCAGCTGACATCTCATATAACAGATCTTTTATGGTATTTTATTTAATCAGAAGTCTATCCTAGTCGCTCTCCCTTGTCTTCTTGGTTCCCTCTTCTCATTGTGAAAATGAGTGTTCAAATGTCTCAGGAAAACATTGCAAAAGAATTTCTGGACAGGCTTGTGAAGTGGACCAAAAACATCAAAATTTCTGATCCCCTTGAAGAAGGATGCAGGCTTGGCCCTGTTGTTAGCGGTGGACAGGCAAGGGTTCTGTTTTTGCAATATGTATCATTTTCCGTTTTTCCTTTTCCTTCTATCGGATTGGGAACAGGGCCGGTCAGAGATGTTAAATTCCTCCACCGTTCATTTCGTCTGATTAATGGTTTTTTGTTAATCCACCTTGATATTTTTCGTTCTTCAGTGTCTCTATGGTTCTCTTGATAGGTATCGTGTTGAGTTATAGGTACTGAATTTGTAAATTTGGTTGATTTGGCAGACAATGTTACTGAAAGTGGATTGTTAGGCATACTAATACCTATATTTTCACGATCTGTAGTTGCTTAAATTTTTCTTCATTTTATGCAGTATGAGAAAATACTGAAATTCATCTCAACCGCCAAGAGTGAAGGTGCTACTATTTTGAGTGGTGGAGTTCGTCCTGATGTATTTGCTGCTTCTCATTATTAGCTCTGCTTCTGTCCAAAAGTCCACTTCTTATATTCGAGAAATATTTGGCAGCATTTAAAGAAGGGTTTTTTGTTGAACCAACTATAATAACCGATGTGACAACTTCCATGCAAATCTGGAGAGAGGAGGTTTTCGGACCCGTTCTTTGTGTTAAAACATTTAATAGCGAAGATGAAGCCCTAGAACTGGCAAATGACACCGGTAAGTTCCGGAATTCTCTTGTTGAGTGCAGTAAATTGCTAATTTGTCTGATTAATCTTGTGAAGTATCTCTGCTTTCTTTTGGGGTGTTTTATGGTTTCTTCTCTTCCCTTCTTGTCTGGTCCAGTTATGGTTTGGGAGCTGCCGTGATATCAAATGACCTGGAAAGGTGTGATCGTATTAGAAAGGTGAGTGTTACTCGGTCGGTAGTTGAAGTTTTCTGCTAGGTATGCAGCACCTTAAGGGTGCATCAATTGGTTTATATCTCCCCTCCCTGTTTTGCAGCAACTCCAAGCCGGCATTGTGTGGATCAATTGTTCACAGCCATGCTTCTGTCAAGCTCCATGGGGTGGCAACAAACGCAGCGGCTTTGGTCGCGAACCCGGCGAATGGTACGCACCCTGATCATCCAAATAATAGTAAAACAGTGCCTCTAAAGAAACAGGGTTTGATTGTTGGGTCTTTGACAGGGGACTGGAGAATTACGTGAGCGTGAAGCAGGTTACGCAGTATATATCAGATGAACCGTGGGGGTGGTATAGCTCTCCATCGAAGCTGTGAGAAGTCTCTGTGCAATTCCAATAAACCATTGAAGAAGGAGAAAAGAGGAAGTAGTACTTTGTGATGTGTATGATTTAAAATTTTTAAGGGTAAACTACACGTTTAGTATCCATATTATTACTTTTGTTTCGTTTTGGTACTTAAACTTAATTTTTTTTCTTCAAACCATATCTAATGTTTAGTTTGATATCCCGCCGTTAAAAAACTAACATAATTACTAATGTGACATTTTTTATTTTTCGATAATGATGTGACATTATCTTATGGTGACATGTTGATATTACCATTGAGCTTTTAATGTTGTGTACTAAAATAAAACCTGAACTAATGTTGAGTATAGTTTTGAAAAAGAAAAAGAGAGTTTGGGTACCAAATAAGAATAAAAGTAATAGTTTAGGCATTAAATAATGAGGAAGGTAGGAATGTTGACAGAAGTAGAAAATGAGTCTTGGATATTTATTAGAATATGAATAGGCACTTTCCTTTGAAGGATTGTTATTCTGATACTCTATTCCTTCCCAAAACTTGTAGCTTGTTAGTTATTATCGGTTAAAATTGTCGTTTTTAGAACATGAATCACACTCTAATGCTCTATTTCTTTAAAGACCTTCAACTTATTAATGCTAATAGTTACTAACATTTTCTTTATGACAAAGATATTCTTCTAAATTCTTAAACGCGTTCAAGAAGCAAGGAAATGAGAATTAAAAAACGTATTGATTCGACAAACGATTTCATATGAAATAACCTTCGTAATTTAATTATGGAACCCTTTCGTTTCTGACAGCCAATCATATATGAAGGCTCTTTTATGAGATAAGCCAACCATTTTTTTTTACTGCTGGCTTGATTTTCAAAATCAGAGTTCTCCCTGCACCAACCAAGTCTGTTATCCCGGGAAGTCTTCGGTTTGAGCACGATATTTGTGAGGGTGTTTAAGCGTTCATTGTATTGGGAATCTTTTGAACATACTATACGTTCTAATCATCTCACTATTGAAAAAAGAAATGATTTAAAGTCCGAATCGAGATGTACCAACGTTTTTTAGATAAAGGGAGAGGGAAATGTTACATTCGTTGTGAGAGACGATGTTTATGATCATCGACCTATTATTTCTTTCTTATTGTGGTCACCGAAAATGCATATTTGTTTTTGGTAAAAACCCTCAAAACGATGAGACATTTCGACATCTAATTAATTCATTTGAAGGAGAGGAGAACCGAATCAGGAATCTCTTGAACAGAGTTCTAAGCCTTACTACCGAGGAGGGCTTGACATTTTATAGTTCCACCAAAACCTATACATAAAGTGTATGGAAGATGACAAACATACCTTTTCCGTGACTTGCTGACGGGAATGGCTTGAGATGGGAGTGGACGGGGTAAAATTATTATATATTTTAAATATTTTCTTGGTAATTCGTCTCCTAGAATTTTAGACGTTGACATCCTCTTAAAATTTTAGAAATTCACTTCTCTTAACATAAGATTCTACGTCGGTCGCTACTTGCAGGTGAAAATGACTGCATTAATCTCGCTGGCTGCGCTCCAACCGGTGAGTTAGAAATATGTTCAAAAGCCATCGGTGAAACAGTGCTCTCCAGCTCTTTAAAAACCTTTGTTGTATGAAGAAAAATGATTCATTTTAGTATCACGTTTAAAATTTAATGTTAATTTTTGAAAAAAAAATTGAAATTGAAATTTCATGTATTAAAACGGATCAAAATTGATAGTTTATATACTAAATGCAATTATTTTTTAACTGTGAGGTATTAAAATGAAACAAAAACTAAATATTATGTATGATTTTAAAAATATTGAAGGTTTATGTGTTAAAATTTATAAAAACTGATAGTTTAGGTACTAAATACTTAATTTACCTTAATTAATAAAGCGCAAGACTAGGCATGCCACGCAATTCCAACACGTGCATATGAAAACATGACTTTTTTATTTCCTATAGAAAACCATTTTCGTTTTCCTCTGTTTTTGTTCTTCGTTTACATCTGTTTGTTTCTCAGGAAACTCTATTTATAAGACGATCGATTATCGTTTAACCGAACCTTCTTCCTCAAATTTTTATAAAAATCTCATACCTTTGCTAAAACGTAAGGCCCCCTGGTTTCATTTTCCTGGGTTCTTCCCGTTTATTCCTTCAAGTGATCGATCATCATATTATTTTGCTGGTCGTTTGTTTCTTGGATACCCATTTGGCTCTAGATATTAGATTGATTTCGTTCTTAGGATTTTAAGAAAATAAAACTATTAAAATTTGATGAATTTGGTTGTATGTTTTCCCTTTAATGCTTAATTTCCTCTGTCCTTGTATTTGGTTTCAATGCATTAAGAAACAACCATTGGGAAGGTGGTTTCATTTCAGATTTCTCTTTATAAAAGGATCAGAGAGATTACTATTTTTTGGTCTTCCAATGCATATCTGTGAAGTAAGGGTTAATGCTTAAATTGTTTCAAGTGAAATATTGTACGAGTTAAGCCATTTTTATCACTTTTATGCTAATAATCCGTATTTTTTATGTTAATTATAATTCATTTTTGGATTGTATATTGTTTATGAATCAATGCTAGAAGAATAGTAAAGGTATTGATGCTTGAGATGGATCTAATCTGCTTTATGTTTTTTAACCGTTTGGGTTGGTCTTAAGCAGCAGGCAGTCTTTTGAAATTTTTGACTTTCCTTTATTTTGTCAGTGCTAAAGTTGTGAATTTTTGTGAACTATATATGCATCAGTGTTACTATCTATGGAATTATTAGGGGTTGAATTATAGGATTGAGTCTTCTATTAGACCATTTGATTTTGGCTTTTTTTCCCAGAAGGATATGAAAGGTCCTAAGATTGGATCTTAGCATCTAGCTAGTGCGTGTGTCATATGCTCATATTACGGTGAGCAATCGTGCGGCCTTAGGCTATGTTCGTAGGGATTGCTCATTGAAGATACGAGCATGTGACGTGCATGAACAGGCTTGCTTAAATTTCTCAACCTTCCAACTTTGGTTCAGGGTCAAATGTCAATCAAAGTAGCTAAAGTGCTATGAAGTTGTTGTTCTAATTAGGAACATTCAGTAACAACTTTAGATTCTTTTGGTTTTATATATCATGAAATGAGAACTTGCATATTTTAATGGTAATCTAGGTGGGGATTTTCTTGTTAAGAGAGCGTGCTAAGACAAATTCATCTTTTGGGAATTGAGATTAGTTTGAAAGGTTTTCATAGACATTTCTTTCATTTGTTTATGTTCTTTATGAATTATACTATTACTTGGTCTTACCGACTTCCATTCGTTACTATTAAATGTTTGCATGGGCATTGAACTTTAGTGCTTGCTCCTGAAGTTATTGCCTCATTCAAAGTAAAGGTCTTCATGTCATGGCAATCTTTGAGCTTTTATATTGATTTAAGGATGTTTTGGATTACTTATTTCTGAAATAGTAGGAGGATTAAGAATAAGTGAATTAAATGAGTCATATTCTAGAGGTTGAGATCCTGCATTATTTAGAAATGGCCAAATCAACAGATGCATCGAGCAATAAAAATATCTGGACCGTTTCTTTCTCTATTTCTGTTTAAGGCATTAGCGGGTCTTTCTAAGCATTGCTAATAAAGTGAAGGAATCAATGTACTTTTGTTGATTTATGGAATCCTTCAGTTATGTAGAATACTTCAAACATCCAAACTGACTATCCTACATTCAACCACTAAGGAAAGTTATCTTTGATATGTAGTCTGCACTAACAATGAATTGATCTATTTGGTTGATTTTAATTCTATAAATATTTACATTCCCTTTTATGCACATCAACATATTTTTTGGTTGCATTACATAAAATCTGAGGTTTATTACACAATTCAGTTTTTTTATTCATATCAAATGAGTTTGTCCTGAACAGTTTTACATATAGGAGATTCTTGGAAATATGAGTGTTAAAATGTGAAGTTCATTTCTTAAATTTTATTTTGGAAAAATGAAAAAAAAAATAATTGCACCGTCGTCATTTTGGCAGGTAATTTGGCATTTAATTATTGGATAAAATGTCTTCCCCAAGCAAGAGGCGGGAAATGGATGTAATGAAGTTGTAAGCTTTTCTTACATGTTTACATCTCTGTGTTCACTGTTCAGTGCTGTCTTTGGTTCAAATGATTTAATCTCCTTATCTTTTAATGTTTTTGAAGACAGTCTGCAATTGTTTTGCCTCAATGAAGTAATGGGGTTTTCTCAAGGTGTTTTTGTGCACCGTTCTTTAGAACTACGTTAGGAGGGGCTAGGGGTTAGTCTCGCTGAGGAAATAAACCAGTTAACTTAATCAAATAACCAGTGATTTGAGATGTTTCGAACCATATGGCTAACATGGTAGCATCATGATTAGATGTTTTAAGCGAAGATGGTAATAATACCAATTGAATTTTTGAAACATTTATTATCAGATGATGAGATTGATGGACTGTGTGTGAAATAGGTTAATAAATAGATTGTCATACTGCACAATGCTGAAATTGGTGTATATTCATTTTAACAGTCTTATGAATCATTCATTTTTTGGCTTTAAGTTGTGAGCATGAGAGGGCTGTAACCTAATCAGGGTTGTTAATCTTAATGGACATTATTCATTAGTACACATGTTATTCTACTGTATCACGGTCATCAATGAACAGAGAGATCTGTTTCTGTTTCTACTTTACTTGTATGATGTTACAAATTTTCCCTCTTCAATTTGTGAAAGCTTTATTGAATGTGGCAATTGTTTCTGAAATTTTGGACTTTTAGTCCGAGATGCTAATGAGTTTTCTATCTCTTTTCCATTTCTCACCTAATTTTATCCAGGATGATGAGCGACTATAATGTGGAAACAATAAATGAAGGACTCAACGAATTCAATGTCGAATTTCATGGTCCCAAAGAAAGTATGATTATACTAATCTGTTCAATATAGGTTCTACAGTTATGTATCTGATATGACCCATCTTGACAGTATTTGTACGTTCATGTAATTACTACCTGGCAGCACTAGTCTTACAGTAGTCAGTTGACTTCTGTAGAGATTGTTCCATAGCATTATATATCCTTATCAATTTGGGAACAGATGGTTAAATTGATTAAATTGTTATGCAATAAGGGGCAAACCACTTTAGCACACCTATACACATCGTTCTCTCCCTCACTCTTTTCCTTCTACATGGAATGCATTTGATTTCGATTTTTTTTTTGCTTGCAGAGTTTTATTTGTTTTCTTTTATCGTCGGGTCTAACCTGTACCCATTGTTTCCTTCGGAAGCCATATTAGTTGGACTCGGGTCAAAGTGTCAGATATGGCATGTGCTGATGCAGATACATTCGGTTTTCGTGTATTTGGAGGGTCCTTGAAAGACCATATCCCCATATTCATGTCTAGATATGCATGTGTCATGGGTGTCAAACATGGATACTTTAAGAAAATGAGAAGTTTGAACACATTTTGGGGAAGTCCTTGATTCTTTCTTTAATATCCTTAACCTCTTCGACTTCAATGCTTATAGGTCTGTATGAAGGCAGAGTTTGGAAAATCCGGGTTGAGCTTCCAGATGCTTATCCATACAAGTCTCCTTCTATTAGATTCTTGAATAAGATATTTCACCCAAATGTTGATGAAACGTGAGCAATTTTTAATTTCTAACTTGATCTTATGGATTGCAATGTCATGCAAATGGTGATTAAACTACTTAAGATCCTCATGTATATTGATTTTTAATAGGCAATAATTCTGGTAAAGATTTGTATTTTTGATTTCTAAATGATAGTTGTTTTTCAATCGAATTTTTCTATGTTGGATTAATTTCAGGTCTGGTTCTGTATGCTTGGATGTTATTAACCAATCCTGGAGTCCAATGTTTGGTGAGCATCATTTGACTTCTATTGGTTACTAGTATGTGACATTCAGCATTATTCATCTTCTTGATTGATGAATCCCCTTGTGTGCGGTTTTCATCCTGTCGCAGATCTTTTAAACATTTTCGAAGTTTTTCTTCCGCAGCTCTTGCTTTATCCAAACCCTTCAGACCCCCTAAATGGGGACGCAGCATCATTGATGATGAAGGATCGAAAACAATATGATCAAAAAGTTAAAGGTAAAGATTTTAAAACTTCGTGATAGGTGGTAACTTTATGGTTATGCTTAGCATGAGACTTTTGTTCTGGGTAAGAAAGATAGGGCGGTTGCACAACGAATATTCATTTCTCTGGGCTGAGCGATGTTATCTTTTAACAGAATTCTGTGAGCGTTTTGCAAAGAAAGAAATATCACTAAAGCAACAGCTGATGAGGAGACCGATGATGATGAAAATGTAACAGATGAAGAAACCGGGTCCAGTGATGATGAAATTGCTGGGCATGCTGATCCATAAAATACCTTTGGAGGTCATGGTTTCTATGAATTAAAGTCTGGATGAAAGCCATTCATCGCTCTCCTCAGCATAGAAAATTAGAAGTGATAAATGAATTCTCATAATACCAGGGCCTGCCATTGATGCATTACAACACTTCTATTTATTCAACATAATATTTTTCTTTTTTTCCTTTTTGATAATTTGGGATGGGGTGCCACACTAAGTCTCTTGATGGAGTGGGGGTTAAAGGATGATGTCAACTTTAGTTATTTGATGTTCTGCATAGTTTGTATTGTATTTCCCAGTAGATCATGTACTAGAAGATATGAGAAATTCTCTTTTGAAATTTGGGCAATGCAACAGTTCCCACCTTGTTCTTTTCTGTTTGTCCTACCATCAATGTGTGATAAAGTATACCACTTTTTTCTATTCTTCCTAAACAAGCAGAACCAGATTACCCTGCTCATTTACCCTTTCCTTGTTCATCAAGAATAAACCATGTTTCGATCTCTATACTACCAGTTTTGTTCTTTTTCTTCTTCCATGTCCCGAGTTCGGAAGATTTGCAAGTGAAGCCATCACTTGTGGCATTCATGGACAAACTTGCAGATGGAAATGTAGAGAGATCAAAGTTGGGGTTGGAACATGAGTTGAAACCCCTGCAAAGACAAATGGATCGGTGTATCCTGTGAATCGCAGTCAAAATCCTTCAAGAAAGTTGTTCTTGATGAGTTCAATCTCCCTGGTGTTCTTCATATTGGTTCTGCCTGCAGGGCAAGTTCCCTTTCCGTGCTTGTCCTAAACCAGAACAGTTGTTGTATCGATATAGGAAGAGATGGGCAATTGCAAGCATTTGACACCTTTATTTAAGTGGTAACCAAATATCTGGTCACCTTCCTGAGTCTCTGAAACAGTTGACTAACTTAAAAAGATTCGATATAACCGACAATAACTTGTCTGGAGAGATTCCTGATATCTCTGGAATTTCTGGTTGTCCGGGTAGGTTTAGGGTGCCAAACTCAAGAACCATCATTCGATCTTCAATCCAACAATTTCAGCAATGGTGCCTATGGGAGCTTCAAAGCTGACATCTACGGTTCTGGGGTGATTCTGCTGAAACTTTTAACGGGGAAGCCGATCCAAGCTAATGGGATCGATTCGGCTCGAGGGGGGTACTCAGTTTTAACCAACTTATGCTCTCCCCTCTCGAGAATACAACTACAAGGCATACGAGTTTGTTGAGTTGTTCCGAAGATATTTAACGGCTGTCCTCTGCCTTGCTCAGGTTTCTTAATGCCACAATAAGAAAATCAAACGAAAAAAGGGAAATTTGCAAGAAACGGCAATTGCAAATCATTTTCTGCGTTGATTAAAACCTGTAGATGTTTGTCCACAAACAAAAGCACTTTTCCACCGCACTTTTCAGAAACAATGCTAAACTAAATCAGAAGTAAATGATGCCCTTATGTCAGTAAGACTACCTATGACAATGCATTTATCCTGATAAGTATCGAGTCAGCATCCGAAACTATTTAAATCAACCAACACCTCCCACCTATCAAACTGAACTGGTCACCTACAAGTTCATTGTGTTTCCATTTCTGTATTATAACTGTGCACGGCCATAAGCCCCCATGATTCTATTCTTTAACCCAAACCAGTCTAATCCAAAGCATAACCAAATACATCATTTTTCAAGCAAAACTTTCGAATGAAACTTCAATTTCTGGAGGAACAGGTTGAGATGATATAACTGTGTCGTTTGTTGGTGTTGTTGAGCTTGAAGCAGCAGCCAAACTTTTAAGTAACCTCAATACATCAATAGTATCATCGAGATAATAACTAGCTTTGCTTGGTTTCTGACCAACAGTGCAAGCAAAAATTTCCGTAGGAACAGGGAGAGATGATATTGATATACTTTCAAACATGTCTTCGTCCGATCTATCATCACCGATGCACAAGATAAAATCCGGAGGTTTCCCGTTACTTGTCATGGTGGAAAGAATTTTCTCTGTAACAAAGCCTTTAGTAACTCCCTGGCACATCAAACGGTTAATGTTAAGCCTAGGCATGAAAGAAAATTAGGGTCAATAACAAAGCACTTAAAATGTATGTATACCTGTGGCTTCACTTCAACTATTTGACGGCCCCTTTTAACCGCTACAGGCTCATTGGCAAGGACACTTTCAAGATGATCCAGTAGTTCCTTCGCTTGACAAGATCCAAAATCAGGGTCAGCATCCTGATGGTGCCATACTAAGGCACTCTCCTTGGATTCTATATATGAGCCATCAGTTGCCTCTGTATACGATTTCATTACTGGTTCAGCAATTCTTTTCCAACCGAAGTCCACAGCAACAGGAATGGTTTCCCACTCGGACGTCCTACTCCACCTACAAGGGGTTAAAAAAACATCAAGAAAAAGCCTGCACCATAATGTATCATACAACAGAATCTTTCATAGAGGATACACTGTCATTTAGATCTCTGCCTGCTGATCCACTAATGCAACAATCCATCCAACTATCAAAGCTCGATTTCAAATGTATAACTGAAATGTACCTTATGAAGTATCCATGCTCAGCTGCCATACCTATATTCTCACATTGAGCAAACCAGTCACTCAGGGAGTTTTGCCCCCTACCACTAACTATAAAGACAGTGTTCTTGGGGTCACAGCATAGATTGTTCAGGACCAATATAACTTCAGGACTGGGGGTTTTAGTAATTGAAGAATGGGGCACCACTGTCCCATCATAATCCAAAAATATGGCTCTTCTGCATGTCCTTCCATGAGCAGAGACGATGTGTTCTATGGAAAGCTGTCTAAAACTTGGAGAAAGGGACAATATCCTGAAACTCAGTCCAAAACCAATACCCCAGCAATTTTTGCTGTAATGCTCTCTGCATGCCCCCTCCAAATCTTGCATAAAACTCCGGGCCCAATAAGCAACATCATGAGAACTAACATAGCGATAGTGCTTCTCATGCCGCTGTTGTTTCTCAACATCAGGCATGGTGATGGCCATGTTTAATGCATCAGCTACAGCATCAATATCCCAAGGATTAACCCTGATTGCCCCACTTAAGGATGGTGAACAACCTATAAACTCTGATACAACAAGCGTGCTCATACGAGGAGATCCAGTGGCAATTTGCAAAGCTGCATCCATTATGGATGTCCCCTGTCTACAGACAATGTACTTGTATGGAACTAGGTTCATTCCATCCCTCACTGCATTTACAATACAACATTCTGCGAAAGCATAATAAGCGGTTTTCTCATAGAAAGGGACATGGCGATCAATCAGAACCACTGGTTCATATCCGGGGAAACCAAAAGCATCATTTGTCCTTTGAGTACTCTTGTATATTTCCCTTTTTGCTTCTTGAACATCTTTCCCAGTGCTTCTTGCAGGATTTAAAATTTGAACCAGGACTACTTTGCCTCGCAACCCTGTATGCTGTTGTAAGAGCTGTTCCATAGCTAATACCTTTAGGTTAATGCCTTTAAATATATCCATGTCATCAACACCAACGATAAGCTTTTTCCCCTCAAACTGCTGAAAAATTTCTTTGACCCTGGTAGAAGAAGATGGGTGATTCAGTGCAGATTGGAGTTGCCCCATGTGAATCCCAACAGGCAAAATTTTTATATAGACTGTGCGACCAAAATACTCAAGTCCAATGTGTCCTCTCTTGGATTCATAGTCAAGACCAAGCAATCTGCAGCAGCAAGAAAGAAAGTGGCGAGCATAATCAAATGTTTGAAAACCGATCAAGTCTGCATTAAGCAGTGCTTTTAAAATTTCATCCCTGACTGGCAGTGACTGGTATATTTCTGAGGAAGGGAATGGGCTGTGAAGGAAAAATCCAAGCTTAACTCGAGGGAGACGTTTCCTCAAAAATGTTGGAAGAACCATAAGGTGATAATCATGTACCCATACATAATCCACTTCTGGATTGATTACCTCCATGATCTTTTGTACAAATATCTTATTAGCAGAAAGATAAGCTTGCCAAAGCAACCTGTCAAAACGGTTACCATAGTCTGGGCACATGGGTAGCATATAATGGAAAAGGGACCACAAATAGTGCTTACAAAACCCATGGTAGAACTTTTTCTGAAGGTCAGGAGGAAGAAATGTGGGCACACAATTAAACTCCTCTAACAATCTCCCAGAAACTTCATCTTGTTCACTTGAATCTACATCAACCTTCAAGGACCCCACGTAGACAACATCAGTATCAGACAAGAAGCCATCCTTCATTTGTAAGAGAAGAGAATCCTCATCAAAGCTGAACGACCATCGACCAGATCTCATATCTTTTTGAGCTTGTAAAGGAAGAAAATTTGCCACAATAATTTTCTTTTCACGGCATTCAAAAGAGAGAGCATCAAAATCTCCATCATTTATTTTGCCACCCCCTATCTCAGAGACAGTTCCAGGAACAGTCATAACCCGAGGTATTCTTCTAGGAGATTGCGCCGAATTAAACATGTCGCCAGTTGCCAAGTCCAACAAGCTTTTGCAAGATCTTGATACCATATCTCCCTCAACACTCTTATTTCTCGCTGTTGATGACTAATGAACTGAAATCCTTCCTACGGAAGAGATTTTGAGAAGGATGTTGAATTATAAGGAACCAAATACCTGCTAGAAATTGGAAAAGAACATCCATCACTTTGTTGAATATAAGATTGCCTATTAAAAAAAAGAAACTACGAAAGTCCACAGAAGTATCGAAGATGCCATTCAAATCTTAGTCAAAAATCAAATATAAAAGTTTGTAAAACATATGATTAAGATGTTATACAAAATTTTAAAGTGTGCTATTAACTCATGTGGTTCTAGTTGTTGCACATCCTTTTATGTCATCAGAGCATTTTCCCTGCCTAACATCCTAATACCAAGAAGACCTATGATCAAACTAGTTGAAAATGAAATCAAAATAAGGGAGAAAGACCATAGATTCTCAGAAAATGGGGATTACTTCATGTATGGAAACCCTCAAAGTTCTTTTTCTTTTCTTTTTTTGGATGATTATTGGCATTATCACTAACTGCAAGTCAACTATAAATATCAAAATTCATTCTTTTATCTCGAAAAAGTATATATTTAACATTGCACATATGTCAAACTACTTCAAAAGAGGAAGAAAAAAAGGTACCATTAGGTGGTTTTATCCTAAATCTATTAAGTATTGGATTCTTATGAGCACTTTCATGATGCTTTACCATGGTATTAGAGCCCAAACTGTTTTATGTTGTTTCCTAAAGGAAACCTGATAAAAAAAATGTGAGATAACACAACTTAGTATTCCATATCAAGTGTAGCTCACAAGGCTCACACATGGACAACCTCATTGGGAGTCGTCAACCTCACTTGGGGTTAGGTAAGAACAACAACATAAGATAACCTGTGACTATTCTTATAAAAAAAAAAAAAAGATAACCTGTGACTATAATATCATTTTAAATCATTGAAACTTAAAACAAATTGTTATAGGCGGAGGAACTCAAGTTTAATATAAGACCACAGTTGCATAAATGGTATAGAGCCCAAAATATGTTACTTTGTTCTTCTACCTATCTATATATGAGGTTGGCGACCCTCAAGGAAGTTATCTACATATAGGCCCTGTTAGTTACATTTGAGGGAGAGTGTCGAGTGATGTTATCTCACATCAGTTAAGGACTAGGTTTCCTATGGTTTTATATTAAGTTGAGCCCTTTCATCTTTACCAATTGATTTGAGGTTGGATGTCTTAACATGTATCTATAAGTGAAAAACTGAAAAGTCTGAGAATGAAAAGAAAACAAACTAAACTCATCCAAATAAAAATTACACCATTATTTCACTAAAATAATCAGGATATGCATTTCCTAATGTCAATTAAGTTGCGGGGAAACAAAACAGGACAGAGAAAATAGTGATTTACATCATGTTGAAGGAAATTAACCATAGGAAAATAATACAAAGAGATTTCAAAAATATCTAATGGCTAATCATCACTCAAACAGAATGAAACTATCCCCTCAAAAATTCGACCACCAGTTCCAACTTAGACAACCGGTTTTAGTTTGAACCAATAAACGGGACATCTTACTCATACAAGAAGAAATACATGCATTCATGCTATGATATACTCATGAAAGAAGAGGAAAAGGATACCTAAAAAGAGAAGTAAAAAACAGACATGGAACATATTGAACGTAAGAGGGAAAATGCACACTAAAAAAAATCGACATACCTAGTTTTGTTCGCCGCCACGCTTTCAACAAAACCTGCCCATTGATGTATACCCTACATAGCCTTTTATATGCAAGTAGCATTCGCCTTGATTTGTTCAAATTAATTGTCCAGATAGACTCTATTAAGGAAATTTAATGTGACAAATCTTCTTTTAACCCATTGGGGAATCAAATTAATTTCCTTTTGAGTAAAGTACTAAAAACGTGTCCGTTTAACTTGTTTGATTCCCGCAAGATCATTAAGCCACTTAGCCGTTTTCCGAGTATGGACAAGATGATTAAATGATAAATGAACTAAACTCTCCAAACTTTACCATATCATTCACTTCATCTTTATCAAATATTATGATATCTTCTGCAAAGAAACTAAAACCTTCTTAGAAAAAAAAACACAATAATGAAAAATGAAAGAAGACAGTTTTTGGGGGGAAAAGTATTTTCCTTCTAATACAAGTTTCATGACATTGCCAGGAAAGCATTGACTCCTATTCATCAGCTGATCTATCAAATTATCATAGACAGAAGGCAAAAGACAGTAGAAAAGAAGAGCATATATGACTATTCATGGGGTCACCTCACTTTATCTTGTTCCTCAAGAAATTAACTGCAATGAAAACTGTTCTTGGTTTTCATGATATTTTACTTATTAGTAAACTTATCTTCATTGATTTTCTTTAATTGTATTAAAAACTGGATTTAATCAAAAAGACTAACACAATTGCCTATAAGGAAATTCTTTCTAGTGATCATCAATGATTTATCAAATTGAGAATCGAAGGCAAAAACGATAACTATGGACTCGATTATAAATAACTCAAAACTTATACTAGAGAAACAAGCAGAAACAGAAGGAATGAAAACTGCCAAACATCCAACTAAGCTCCCTAAACTTATGGAATTTTTTTCTAGTGATCATCAATGGTTTATTAAATTAAGAACCGAAGACAATAGCTATGGGATCGATCATAAATAGCTCAAAACTTATACTAGAGAAACAAGCAGAAACAGAAGGAATGAAATTTGCCTAGCATCCAACTAACCTCCCTGAACATATGGAAACATGTTCATCAGTGCAGATAATGGCTCCACTAAAATAGAAACGAAAGAAAACTCAAATACACAAGAAAGTTAAAAGTTTGCTCCTTACCATCAAGATCTTAGAGTTCCAATGTATACATAAAGATAGAAAGATACTACTAAAACACATTTTACTCAATACACATATGACTGTACAAAAAGATGGGAAAAAAGGCAGAGTGATAATGAATGTTACCCTTGCAGAATGTCCAGCCCTGATTAACAGTGATTTTATCAAACTCTTCAGTGGCAATGTAGAGCACTTCCCCTGCAATAAAGACGAATCCTTTTTTCTATGAGGGAAAACTAAAGGAAATATTCTAAACCATGCAAAACTAAAAAAAATCTCAGAACCCCATTTTCCCATTGCTTCCCTTGAAACTTTCCAAGCAACCAAACACAATGCAATGAAAAGAAAGGGAAGACAGTAAAAAGGAAAGAAGAGAAAAGAACCCATCTCGACAACAATGTGGATAGATCAGATAAAACTTACATAATAAAAGAAGTTGATAACACATGAAAGAGTTTTGAAGGAGAATTAGGCTCAAAACTGGTGAGATCTGTGAAAGAATTTTGAAGAGTTGAAAATCGAGTGAAACCCCAACAAGAAAATAGAAGGAATAATTGATTTGAAGGGTTTCGGTTTGGTGATGGTTCCATTCAACAATGGAAGCTGAAAAAATGTACACAAGTCAAAAGAAAAACAAAGATTTAGAAAGAAAGCATATACAGTTAGATTATAAGTCTGGTTTGGTCTTACGTTATAGTCCTTCCGGTTCCTCTTCCTTCTTATACCCCTTTTCTTCTACTTTTATTACAATTTTGCCATTTTTTATTAATATAAAATAATTACAAGTGATAATATATGTTCTAAAAAAATTTAATCATTTGATAATGACTGCTTAAATACATTGTTATAGCACTTACGTTCGAACCCATTACCTATAATAGTAATAAGTAATAACAATCATTTTTCTTTTCTTTGTGTTGTATATATTTTGGGCTATAATATTATTGTTGAAAAAAATTAATTTTATAAATCATGTTTAAATTTATTGTAATTTCTTAAAGTTTTATATTCGAACATCACATATGTTAGATACATTAATGACCGAGAATCTTTGAACATATATTATCGTTTATTCACCTCAAATTTATAAAAACATAATAAAGTTAATAAAATATATTAATGTTTTTGGAATATTACTTGTTGATAAATAGGTTATTTAAATTTATAAATTTTGAGTTAAAATTAATTCGGTCACTATAAAAAATTATAAAATAATTGAGATGTGACATAAAAAATCAACAAAATAATATGAATATCTAATTATTTTAAAATCTACTTAAAATCAATTATTAATATATAAAATTTAAAATATTTTATCCATAAAAATAATATAAACGCGGCATTATTTGCGTTTTTCTTTTTCAACAATAAATTTCAACTAAATGTCACCGCAATGAATTATGGTCAACAATTACTTTTGTCCTTCATAAAATTTTTAATATAATAGTATTTTATGTGTGTTTTTTTAATTTAAATATTAATTAAAAAATTCTCTCTTAATTTTTAGATTTAAATATTAAAAAAATACTGTTCTTTTAATATATAAAACAATTTAATCCATGGATGTTTGATCTTAACTTTTGTCTCAGATTCTAACATTGATAAACTCAATAGTCCAAATATTAATCTTGAATCATCTTAATCCTAAATAATATCACTAAAAAAATAAGCATACGGATAAAATTAGTCATAATAGCTCATGTTGGATGGAAACAATTAATTAATTAATGATCAATATATATTATTGACGTGATATTTTTACATATATTTAATTGATGACACGGCACATTCATGTCATCACTTTGATGACATGCCACATCAATAATTAAACACATGTAAAAATAAATCGTCAATAACATACATTGATCTTTAATCAACTAAGTATCTTCATCCAACTAAGGTTTATGATAGAAAAGTTGAAACGCTAGGAGTTAAAATGTTATAAAGAAAAAATAAAAATCAAAGTGACCATTTATATAATGATTGAGGGTTAATTTTATCAGTCAAAAATAAATTATATTTCAAGATCTTAATTAGCTATAAAGATAAATTTTAAGTGAGTTTATTTTGAAGTTTGTACTTTTGTATAAAATTCAAGGTAAATTATCTATTTAATCCCTCATTTATTACTTAATTTTTATTTTGGTCACTAAATTATTTTTTTAAATCATACCTAAATTGATAATTAATGTATTGGTTCTATTTTGATCACCTATTATTAAAAAGTTAACAGTGATAACGATGCGTCACTATAAGGTAATGCTTCATTAGCATTGAAAAATAATAAAAGAATGTCACGCTAATATCATCATTAATTTTTTAACGACAAGTTAATACAAGGATCAACTTGGAATGAGACTAGTAATTTGAGGATTGATATAGAATGCTTTAAAGTTTAGGGATCAATTTAAAATGTGATCATAATTTGAGAACTGGTGTAGAATATTTTTAGAGTTGAAGGACCAAATTAGAATAATGGTCATGATTTAGGAACCTCACGTGAAATTAACTCTAATTATTATGAAACACAATGACGTCAAACTTATTACAAATAGGAGCCATAGCATAGGTAAAGGTAAGTTATAACATGATTAAGCAGGTAGGAATGGGGCGCGTGAACCGACAAGCCACGCGGCTGCTCGACCACGCTATTCCCATTTCCGCTGGCCTCCATTTCTTCTCTATTTCTGTTTTTGGATAAGACGCGACGCCCAGTATTTTCCTTTCTTTTACCGTTCTACCCTTATGTCAAAATTTGCATTCAACTCGTATTATGTCTTACGATAAATTTTCCGTTCATGTCGCATATCAAAATACACCTTTAATATAATATATTAAAATATATTATTAATTAAATTATTTTTATTAAATAGAAACTAAAAAAGATTCAATGATAGCTCTATAATTAATCCACTAATTTTGTAAGATAAAATTTGTAAATAATCACTAAACTATATTAAAATAATCATTTAGTTATTAATCTTTCAAAAGTTATATAATTGATACTAAATTTTAAATTTTTTATAAAATAGATACGAAAATTTTAACTGTCATTAAAGAGGTGAAGTGACATATTAAATTAATAAATAACCTCATTTGTCTCCTCAATTATAAATAAAGTTTCATTTTTATAAAATTTTCAACATTTCTATGTATAATTCTAAATTTTTTTAAAAAAATATAAAATTCAAAAAAAAATTAAAATTATAAATTTATAATTCTTTTAATTCATAAAATTATTTTATAAATAATTTTTATTTAGTTATGATTACATTTGTAAAATTTAGAAAGCGATATTATTTTTTGTTCAGCAATATGATTCAATCATTTAGCTATTTTTTTAATAAGTTTAAATATAATTTAATATTGTATTTATAATTTCAAAAATCAATTTTAAAATTCAATATATTTTTTTGAAAAAATATTTTTTTGAGATTCTTACTTAAAATATTGAAAATATATATTAAAAGAAACTTTTAGTCACAATTGAGGGACAAAAAAGATTTTTTTTTATTAATTTAAAATGACATATCATCCCTTAATGATAGTTAATGATCATTGCTTATATTTTAAATAAAATCTAAAGTTCAATGTTTATCTTATCACTTTTAAAAAGTTGAATGACGGAAAAAAAATATTTTTATCATAGTTTGGTGATCATTGTAATTTATCCTATTTTAATTTAGTTAATGATGTGTTTAGGTGTGTAGCTTTAGTGATATGTTTCGGTGGGCAATATTCACTATAGAATTTTCCTATGCCTTAAATATACGATTCAAGTAAAAAGTTAGTTTTTGGTTCCCTTACACGTACAACTTAACAAAACTGGATTCGATTTAAAAAAATGATTCTTGAAATATTTGATTCAATTTTGCAACATTTTTGTCCCATTTAAGTAAATAATGAAGTAAAAAATAAAGTTTGCTTCAAATAATTTTTTTTTTTACTTTCTCCGAGCTTAAAAAACTTTCAGAACATAAAAAAATAAAAGCAGTAAAAAGAAACTAAAAATTTGTAATAAAAAGCTAAAAAATTACCTTGCCAATTTGAACTTGCAAGGTTATGCAAAAGTGTGGATTTTTTCCTTGAGATTTTACGCATCTCAATATTAGGATTTGGTAGTGGTGAGAGGATGCGACGATGGAATAGTTTCAAAGGCTGGTGACCAATAAC